GCGCGCGCGAGAGAGAGAGAGAGAGAGAGAGAGAGAGAGAGAGAGAGCATGCCCAAATCTCGAGAGAAGATTGGAGAAGGGATTACAGCATGGCCATCACTCCTCTCTCCCTTTCTCCCTTTCTCTCTCTCCACTGAGCGCATGCACCCTATAGTAAGCAAAGAAAAGAAAGAAAAGGAAAAGGGAAGGAAAGGGAGGGGAGAGGAGGGAAAGGGAGGAGAGGGGAGGGGAGAAACAGCATTAATGGAAAACAGGCAAAGAATATGAAGAGGCAATTGACAAACAAGGATGCAAGACAGACCAGCCTCGTCCTCACTGCTAACTGCGATGGGGTTAGACATCATCTTTTCACCTGCCAGAGTGGTGAAAATCGACGAATTTGGAAATCATCTCACAGAGGAGCAGGAGACACAGGCCCTCCGTTGTGGCGGGAAGAGGCCAGTGAACGGGCACTCCGCCGTGTGGACTGTGTGCGGCTGAGCCCTGGCCCTGCGCGTCCGGAGGAGCCCCCGCACAGTCTCAGGCACCCGCGGGGCCCGCAGCTCTGCCCGAGAGAACATCGGGAAGCTCAGGGGCACCGACGTGGGAAGGCCCGTACGGATACCGCTGGGTAAGTGTGGCAAGTACGCTGCCGTGTGGGCAAGGAACGAGTGCAAGTGGGAGCGGAGCCACCGCAGGACACGCCACCCCACACTCGCCGTGCCAGATCCACGGAAGGCCTTGGCTGCAAGGTCTCGCGCACACGCGGGGTACAGGCACACATGCCGTGGAGCCTGGCTGGCGGAGGCCGGGGTGCGTCATGGCAGGAGACCCTGTGGGGGTCTCACTCTCTGCTTCTTTCTCGTGGAAGAAATAAATGAACTTGAAGGGAAGTGACACAGACCCCGCTGGAGCGTCCATGTACCGAGTGCCAAGAAAGCCCACGGTCTGGCCATCCTCGTGATAACGCGAGTGGAGGCTGTGCACGGGTGGGGGCAGACGGCACCGTCAGGGCAGGGCGACCGCTGGGTTAACACAGGGGTGCTGATTTCACCCACGACATAAAGTAAGAAGTAAGTTGGTGCAGAAATAGCGTGAAACACTGTAGATAAATACTTCTGTAAGTATAGGAATATGTTTACTATTTTTACATTTAGATGATAAATTATAGTTTTATAATTCTACAATAAATTACATGCTTATATGCACCTATGTTATGAAAATACGACTACCATTTATTTACATATATTGATAAAGTATTACATGACTATTATAAAACATAAAATAAGATGGGACCAGCAGGTGGTGTGGTGGTTAAGGTGCTGGACCCTCCCACATGGCTGACCACGGTTCAGGTCCTGAACCTGGTGGCTTGCTTTCTCACTTTCCCTCTCTCCCCCTGGTCAAATTAAAATAAATGAATAAAATTAAATCATTATTTAAAAGAAAAAAAAAACATAAAATAAGAGAAAAAATAACAATGCAACTATTTTTGTACTTGCCAGAGAGCATGTGAGCTCATAAGAGAGAGAGAGACAGAAAGAGGGAGGGAGGGAGAAGGCACCCCGTGGCCGCGATCCCCTCCTCGGCTGTTTCCGCATCTTTTCAGGAGTTTGGGCACGACGCACGTATGGCTGGCACGACTGTCAGGCCACCAGAGCTGGGATGAGAACTCTGCGTGGTGGGCCCTGTACCAGCAGGATATGGGGCGGGCCCGGTAACACAACTTTCCCAGAGTCCCATGAGCGCGTCCTGGACACGATTCCTCTCTCCTCACTCTCCGCCGGGTGGGTTATCAGACGGAGATGCCCAGCACTGCCACTCAGCATGGAAGGCTCTCAGAATCCACCTGCAGCACAGAGCTGCTCGCGTCCACGGAGATGGGGCTCTGCCCTCCACCCTCCCACATGGCCCTGCGGCCCAGCAGGCAGAGGGTACCAGTCACGAGGCATCAGGGAAATGGGAATCTGAACCACCAGCAGCCACCCACACGGGGCCGTGCTGCTGTCAGAACATTCTCAAGCCAAGCCTCTGCACTCGGCTCCGCGTAGGAGATGAACGAGCCAGTGAGACGTGGAGCTCTCCATGGCATGCGACGGGACGCTCGTGTCAGGGAGACGTGGGGGGCGGGCTGCGTGGGCTGACCCGACCTTGTACTGGAAGCGAGGCCCAAGGGCACAGCCGGGGTCTGCAGCAGCGACTCCCTGCGGAGCCTGGGCCTGGCTGTGAGCCTCGGTCTCCTCTACACGATGGGGGACCCCACTTGTCAGAGGGCGCCGAGGCTGAGCGGGCACGTTCACAGATGGCAGTTCAGAGGCGCTGGGGTTTCAGAGTGAGAATATCCCCCCATCCCAACCATCCCTGGAGAACCGGAGCCTCCCGGCGCCTCTGCAGCCTGGCCTGCTTACGCTCCTTTCAGCTGCCCTGGAAGGCAGTCTCAACCGCTGAGAGCAGAGCAGTTTCCGTTTTCACATTCAGCATGGAGCAGTCCCCCACGTGGGCACACTGACATCCCCACGCGGAGTCCAGCTACCCCGTTTAACCCCTGAAGGCCTATGGAACAGACACCCTGGGCGCTGGGAGAGCGGTGTTGGGAAGCGGGTACTTACTGGAAGTTGTGGTTAGGGCTGTGCGTCGGGCCTAGAAAGAGAAAAAGGCACAGAATGAACACTGGGTGGTTAGGAAGACACCTGCGTCGCCTGGGCCAACGGCAGCTGTGGCTTGTGGGTGCAGCTGTGGTCACCGTGGCTCTGCCCCTGCCAGATTACACACCACGGACGCTGGAACCGCAGGAGGGGAAGGGCGCGTCTGTCTACGTGGGCCCTTCGGGGCAGGACCGGGGTCTCTGCTGCCCCTTGTCCCTTCTCATCCTGACACAAGGTCTGGCTGATGGGCAATAGAATGGCGTGGCCCTGGAAAGCCAGGGACCTTCCCACCACTGGGACGAAGGGCACTCTCCCTGCCGCTGCCTTCCTTTAGGGCACGGGACAGGCACGGAGAATTCCGACGGCCGTCACACTCTGCCCTGCCCCCATGGGCTGGTTCTGGGGGGACGGTGCTGCAGTCACAGGCCTGGGGACATGCTCAGCCCGGGCCCGTGCAGCTCCCACCAGGCCAGCCTTGGGGGGCTGTCCACCCCGTGGTGTGGCCCGCCTCCTGGACCCCTACCCACCCCCTCGAAACCCAGCCTTGCCACCACATGCCCACCCCCCCCAACACCTGGAGTACTCCCTGCAGCCGGGGGAGTGTCAGTCTCACCG